GAGTGATACAAACATTATCAACAAGTTACCAGCAAATGGATTTACAATATTATACTTGTCTAACGTTACGTAATTGACACTGGAGTTGATCTTAACTCTTAAAGCATGTGTAAAATGGTCAAATTACTCCATGAGTTTGTTAATCAGTTACAAGCTATAAAGGTTTTCCACAAGTTTCAAATGAAAAGAAATGATAATACACAAAAACCTCCAGAGAAATGTGAACACTAAGTCAATTAATAATGTATGATCAGCAATACGTTAATTAAATGCTAAAATTAGTACTTGTGTAATGGACAAAATAAAATCTGTCTGGATGGCACATTATTTAGTGGGTTGTTGTACAGTTATTGGTCGTGCCATTTATTTAATTGTGAATATGGTTTGACCTTATCTATTTTGTGTAAAGATGGAATTACAATATTGTACTAGTCCTAACATTACATTGACACTGAAGTTGAATTGGAATATACTTTTAAAGCATGCATTAAAAGGACAAACCACCCCATGAGTTTCTTAATCAGCAATTTATTCAATTTCTTAATGTCAAGTGATTATGTGACCCCTAACACTTTAAACAGGTGTTACCTCCTTTGTCCCATTACTCATTGTTACATGTACCACTAGAGATCTGTTGGAGGAAGCTTGAGACTGTACAGTAGTGTAGGTTATTAGAGGAGGGTAGGAGGAGGAAAGGAAGAGGAGGAGCTGAGGGAGCTAGGTACTTATAGCTAGTGATTTGAAGACTAAGAATACATAAAGTACTCATTTATTAGAGACAGGAGGGAAGGGAAACTGAATGATCTTATAACAAGTTATGTGATGATTGTCGGAAAGGATTAGGCAAAAATTATAATTGTTAAAAATAATGAAGACTGAAGAGAAAACTGACTACAACTACAAGATCTCTTTTAATATGTTATTTAAAACCATTATTATTAATTTTATTTCTATAAATATTAAGCAGATTGCTGAGGCTATAGGATATAGGCAGTAGCCTATATGTAGGATTCAGGTGGATTTTTCAAGATGACAGCCGCTTTTATGATTTTCATATACTCATAACTCTTTTATTTTACATGGTACAGCCTTATAAATGGCTTAGGAGGAGCTCTCCTTCACTAAGCAATTCTCCTGGTACCTTTAAA